GAACCCGCGATCGTATAACCCCGTCTAGGAATTCAGTGTGTATGTGTGGGGGGGATTAATTTGAACGTGAGCATCTATGGAGGTGATTGGGGGGAGCTGAGGGGAAGGTGTAGCAGTGACTAGTGGCCTGGAACCCTTGATATGTGTCCTTCCTACTCCCAGGAGGGGCCCTGCTTGCCCGATAACCCCTCTCCTGGCTAGAAGCAAGTCCCAGCTGCTACTCCTGTTCAAGGGGAGGGGAATACACAAAGGTTTGAATACTAGAAGGTTGGAATTATTGGGGATCACATTAGAGTCTGTCCACCAGAAGGGTGAAGTTATAAACAAAAACTGAGTTTACAACTAATAGATCTTCATTAAAGAAAATTCTATAAGATGTTCTCCGGGAATTAAGCAAATGGCTTGATGGACGTCTGAGATTCAAAAGGAGTCATGAGCAAATGAGTTAGTAAATAAGTTGTATTAGTTATCTGTTGCAACATAACAAATTACCCCCAAACTCAGTAGCTTAAAACAACAAACATTTGTTATCTCACACAGTTTCTGAGGGTCAGGAGTCAGCCAGCAGCGTAGCTGGGTGGTTTTGCTGGAGGTCTTTGATGAGGTTGCAGTCAAGCTGGCAGCCAGGGTGGCAGTCAGTGAAGGCTGGAGAACCTGCTTCCATGCTCACTTACATGGTTCGTGGCAGCCTTACTTCCTAGTGGGCTTTTGAACTGTGGCTCTCAGTTCTTTGCCACGTGGGCCTCTCCACAGGGATGCCTGAGCATCCTTAAGACATGGCAGGTAACTTTCCCCAGAGCAAGCAATCCGAGAGAGAGAGAGCGGGAAAAGAAAGCTGTGGTGCCTTTTATAATCTAATATTGGAAGTGACATATCAGTTCTGCCATGTATTATTGGTCACACAGACTAACCCTGGTGCACTGTGGAAGGGCACTATACAAGGATGTGAATACCAGGAGGTACTGGGGGCTCGCTTGAAGGCTGGCCACTATACACCTGGGTGAATCTAAACAAATGTTCTTCCCAAGAAATAGAAACACTAATATCTGTTTCATAGGATTAAGAAAAGAACTGAAAATTTGTACAGTAATAGCATATATATCATGAAGGGGGTGATTTGTATTTTTCAAGAAGAGTATTTTACCTAATAACTATTATACATTTTAACTTTAGACTTTTAAAATCTTTATTAAATTGAATACTGTTTTGGTCTGTGCAGAGGCTGCTATAACAGCATACCATAGACTAGATGGCTTATAAACAATAGCAATTTATTTCTCACAGATCTGGAGGCTGGGAAGTCCAAGATCAAGTTGCCAGCAGATTCGGTATCTGATGAGGGCCTGCTTCCTGGTTCATAGACAGCGTCTCCTCACTGACCCCTCACATGGAAGAAAGGGCAAGACGGCTTTCTGGGGTCTCTTTTAGAAGAGCACTAACTAATCCCATCATGAGGGCTGCCCCCACTCATGGCCTAATCACCTCCCAAAGGCCTACCTCCAAATACCATCTCATTGAGGATTAGGTTTCAACATATGAATTTTGGGAACACAAACATTCAGTCTATAGAAAATACAAATGCCAAAGGTAACCACTAAAAGACTAGAAATAACTTGTGTAATTTCTCAAGCAGTAGAGGGAGAAAATGAATAAGAAAAAAAAAAAAAGTCGAAAGAGAAATACACATAAGAAAAGCAGGGAAGAACAGATGGTAGAAATCAGACCAAATATGTCAATAGTCACAATAAAGTTAAATGGAGTAAACTTGACAGTTAATAATCAGGTTGAATTTTTAAAAATCTAGCTCTTTACATTTATAAGATGGTAAGATACAATGCGTAAAGACACAGAAAAGCAGAAAGTAACATGGAATTTAAGACAGGATCCCTATATAATCCTAAAAGGTCCAACTCACAGGACAATATAACAGTTTTAAACTTTCTGTTACAATATTGTGAGAAACACAGGGATAAATTTATATATCCTTCCTCACAGTGGCAGATTTTAAAGCACCTATCTCAGTTTTTGGTAGGTCACACAGTCAGAAACTGAGAAAATATATAGAAATTTAAATAACACCATTAATAATCTTAATTTAATGGGCATATAGAACTTTCTTCCCAACAATGAAGGAATTACACAGAATATAATTTTTGAAATAAATAACCATATACTAGATCATAAAGCAACTCTCAGTAAATTTCAAGGTATCTATATCCTACAGACCACATTCTCTGACCACAGTGCACTTGTTAGAAGTCAGTGACAAAGGCAAATTAAAAATCACTATACAATGGGACACTTTAAAAACATGCTTCTTAATGCACAGGTCAAATAAATTACAGTGCAAGTCTAAAGTACTAAGAACTAAACAATAATCAAAAAGCCACATTTCAAAGCTTATATTTGGAGTGAAAGTGGCACTTAGAGGGTTATATAGTCTTTTAATTAATTAATTAATATTAATTAATTAATTTAGGGCTGCGTTGGGTCTTCGTTGCTGTGCGCGGGCTTTCTCTAGTTGTGGCGAGCAGGGGATACTCTTTGTTGCGGTGCGTGGACTTCTCATTGCGGTGTTTTCTCTTGTTGTGGAGCACGGGCTCTAGGTGCGCGGTCTTCAGTAGTTGTGGCATGCGGGGCTCAGTAGCTGTGGCTTGCAGGCTCTAGAGCGCAGGCTCAGTAGTTGTGGCGCACGGGTTTAGTTGCTCCATGGCATGTGGGATCTTCCCGGATCAGGGCTCGAACCCGTGTCCCCTGCATTGGCAGGCGGATTCTTAACCACTGTGCCACCAGGGAAGCCCTGGTTATGTAGTCTTAAATGCTGATATTAGGAAACAAGAAAGGCTAAATGTTAATGAACTAGGCATCCAACGTAAGATAAATTTAAAGAAAAAAACAATAGAATAAACTCAAAGAACCTATAAGGACATGTATTTTATGATACTTTGATATGAAATGTCCAGAATAGGCAAATCCATAGTGACAGAAAGTAGATTAGTGGTTGTCAGGGACTGGGAGGAAGGAAAAATGGGAAATGACTGCCAGTGGGTACCGGCTTTCTTTTTGAGATGATGAAATGTTTCTTAGTGCTGATGGTTGCACAGTTTTGTGAATATACTAAAAATCATTGAATCATTCATTTTAAAAGGATGAATTGCATGGTATGTGAATGGCATCTTAATTAAAAATTTTTTTTTGAAGAAGAGCAAGGGACTGATTAAAAATATATATTCAGGGTACTGTTTACTTCTGGGAGTAAGGCAGAGGGATGGGTTGGAGGAAAATGGAAGTAAAAGCAGCAGTACGTATAAAGTTCCAGTTCTTAAGTTACTTAATGGGTGTTTCCTTTATGTTTCATTACATGTGTGTTACATATATATCTATATCTATATCTATATATTTTAAATTTTATGTATTTATTTATTTACCTATCTTTGGCTGTGCTGGGTCTTTGCCACCGTGCGAGGGCTTTCTCTAGTTGCGGCGAGCGGGGGCCGCTCTGCATCGCGGTGCGCGGGCCTCTCACTGTCGCGGCCTCTCTTGTTGCGGAGCACAGGCTCCAGACGTGCAGGCTCAGTAGTTGTGGCTCACGGGCCCAGTTGCTCCGCGGCATGTGGGATCTTCCCAGACCGGGGCTCGAACCCGTGTCCCCTGCATTGGCAGGCGGACCCCCAACCACTGCGCCACCAGGGAAGCCCACATATATTTTTGTACATATAAAATGTAATATGAAACTGAAAAGAAATACAAATATTAAATGAAGCAGCATTCAAGGCAAGTGATGGCCTTAGGACAAACGCTCCTTGAATTGGGAGTCCAGGGTTCTGGGTCTGTGCCTTCGCCTGACTCGATGGAGCTGTTCTGACCTCTGCTGGCTGGGAGGTGAAGGGCAGCTGGGGGCTGCTGGCTGCGGGGCCCGAACGGAATAGGGCGTGAACCGGCAGAGCAAGCCTGGTCCTGGCCCCTAGACAGTGTGCAGGGGGTTAGGCCGCTGCCAGCCTCACCCCACTAAGAAGGAACAAGCAGCCTTGGGCTTTCGTGTTTTGGGTTTCATTCCCCTTTCCTCTCTGGCTCTTTACCACACTCCTTTAATTAAGCCCAGGAATGAGGTGTGTGCACCGAAATCCATCCCTGGGAGGGACCAACCAGCCCTGCCCTCTGCCTCCATCCAGGGGCCACTGACCCCAGAGACCAGGGGCTTGAGCTCATGAGCAGAAGTCTCAGGCCCTTTCTGAGGAAGGAGAGATCAGGGCGCCGATGCTCAGAGAGCATGTCTCCGTGCTCCATTTGTTTAATCAAACCACCTATCTGGAGGATTATGAACTAAAGTCTATAGGAAGAGTTGACCTGGGCACTTTGGAGGTGAGAGCGTGAGGGGTACTTTGATGGAGAGCTGTCAGCATTTCAGGGTTTACTCTAAAGAGTCCAGGAAACAGCAGGCCTTCCTTCCCAACCCCTGGCTGACCTGCCCCATTTAATCTGATAGAAAGAAAAACTTCCGCCAGTGGGTCTCGGTTGTAGGGAACCAGGCCAGAAAGTCCCGGACATCTTAATGAGCTAGAGATGGCCACATCTCTAGGTGGCCCAGAGAGGAGGACACAGGTGACGTGATCTCCCAAGCCCTTGGGGTTTTATGACTTTGGCACCAGAGAGGCAGCCAGGCAGAGGCGTTCCTGAGCTGCGTTGGGATCCAGATTGTGCTGCTCGCTACCATGAGTGTCCTTTCACCTCCTTAACCTCAGCCTCTTCACCTGCAAAATGGGTTAGTCACAGTGCCTGCTAGTTGAAGTGATTCTGTTGTAATTGAACTCATGCCTGCAGAGCACTCCGTAAGGAGTCTATAAACGTCAGCTGCTTTGGCTTTGTTGTCTGACCTCACACCTTGTGGAGAGAGCTCAGAGTCAGGGTGGGAATCTGACTGGGGCCCTCGTCGGGCTGAGGGTTGGAGTGGGGAGTCTCCTACCCAGAGAGTCATTTTCCTCCCTCCGTCCCCAGACGCCATGGAGGTGGTGTTGCTCTACCTGTGCGGCCTGCTGGCCCCGGCGGTCCTGGCCAATGGTAAGTACCCCTTTCTCGTGGAAGGTTCAGGCCCTTTGGGACACTAGGGTTGGGGGGCCCTCAGATTCTACATGTCTGACCAGCTGTCCCACCTTTAGTCAGCAAAGAAAGTCCTGGAAGGCAGCAGCTAACACAGCCCCTATTCCAGCCTGCCCACCTCTCCCCATGGGCTCCAGCCCTCAAGCCCACCAGGTCCCTGTAGACTTTTAACCTGAACTTTGGGAGTCAGACTTGTACATCAGTCTCTAGATTGTGCAAGTCACGTGTCCTTCCTTCCGTGGTCTTAGTTTCCCCACCTATAACAAGAGGAAAATAGACCCTGCCTTTTGATGATGACGTAAGATAAAAAGCAATAAATGTGGATGCTGTGAATGCAGACTCTGATTGGTGCTCTGAGCTGCACCTGCCTTTGGCTTCTAGGCTGGCCCTGGCAGGCAGGCCCACCCTTCCGTGCTTCTCTGGGCATCTCTGCTTCATGGGCCCTGTTTCCCAGGAATTCCTTTGTGGGGAGTAAGGCCTGTGAGACAAGGTAGGATATTTGGGAATCAGGATGTGTAGCTGTCTCCGCCTTGACCACACCTGTTTGTTTTTCTGGCAGCTGAGCAGGAGAAAGAAAAGGACCCTTTTCATTATGGTGAGCAGGGACAGTGACCCTGGGTGGGGAGGGGGAGGCACAGCCCCATCCAGGGGAGGGATAGACACGCTCTCCCTGGCCCTTCCCCTCTTCCATCTCTCACTCTTGTTCCTCTGGCAGACTACCAGACCCTGAGGATCGGGGGATTGGTGTTTGCTGTGGTCCTCTTCTCGGTGGGGATACTGCTTATCCTAAGTAAGTTTGTTTGTTCCTTTGTTCACTCTAAGGGCAATGTCTGCAGCTGTGAAGTGAGTGGCGAACAGTGTAAGAGACTGGCAGTTCTCTTTCCTGAAGAGGGAAGGAGCCTGTCTGTCTTCCTAGTTATCTCCAGGGCCTAGTACACTGCTGGGCACATAATAGGTGCTCAGCGAAACAGTGAAGAATGAACAAAATAAGTGCTCGATGAAAACAAGCACAGATACGAAGGGGTGGAGGTGGCTGTCCCCCTGCCGTCCCCATCAGGGCGCGAGTGGGGGAGTCACGGGAGAGGAGACAGGGGCTGTCTTTAGAGTGCTCCAAGGGGTGTGCCCCTGCATGTGTTTCCCCTCGTGAGCCTGGGCTGCACGGCGCTGTCTGCGTTTACATGGTCAAGCAGACAGTGGTGCTGTAGCCATCCAAGCTGCTGACGGTTGAACCTTGGCCTCCGAAGAGCCCTGCTCCAACCAGGGATCGCCTCATGCAGCTGTGCAAACCGTGCAGTGCCCAGGAGTCGGGGCTGCTGTTCGCACAGTCCCACGGACCCACTGGGCAGCCCTGCTGTGGCCAAGCCAGGACATTGACCTTGGTTGGTTTCTTTGCCTTTCAGGTCGTAGATGCAAGTGCGGTTTTAACCAGAAGCCGCGGTAAGGTTACCATGGCTGTGGACATCTGGGGTGATGACGCTAAGAGGGGACAGGGAGGGGCCTGTGGTGTGTGACCCCAAATGAGTGTGCTTTTGGATTCTTGTCTCAGAAACAGGCTGTGTGTGTTGGGGTAGAGGTGGAAGTTTTGAGGATTGTCAGGCAGTCTTTGGGGCAAAGGAGAGGTCAAAACATCAAGGATTAGCCCATCCTTCCTTTTTCTGATGTATGTGTGGGGTGGGGGAAGGGGAAGAAGATGCTGGATCCTTGTCTGGAGGCCCTTGAGTTGGGCTTGGGAGAAGGGAAGCAGAGGGCCTCCGGGCCTCTCTTGAGATCTGTCTCCTCTCTTCAGGACTTGTGACACTGCCCTGTGGTCACCTGCTCATGAGGTTCTTTGAGCTTTGTGGAATGTTGGGCTTCCTTTCGCCCACCCTCTACCTCCACCTAAGGGCACAACCCATTAGTCCACCATGGTAAAGCGCTGGACCTCAGGAGTCCAAAGTCTGTGGCAGGACACAACCCAAGACCCCATGCAGCCCTAGGCCATCTCTTCCCAGTACTTAGTTCTCTCAGGGGCCGACATTGAAGGGTGCCTGTAAGTTCCCCTGACTACATCCCCTTTGGCCCTGGCCTCCCCCCGCCCATGAGCCCCATGGTGGAGAATGATCCACCATGACTTGGAGGAGATGGATCCCAGGGCCCTGCCCCAGCAAGGTGAGTGGCGATGCTCTCTGGGTTTGCCCTGGAGACCTCTGACGGGCTTGCATTTCATCCTCTTGCAGGGCTCCAGGGGACGAGGAGGCCCAGGTGGAGAACCTCGTCACTGCAAATGGTAAGTGTCAGGACCACCCGCCCAGGTGGGATGGAGGGAATGGGCAAGGGTTCTCCTACAGCTTGAGGGTCGGGGACGGTTGCCAGGTGCCGTTGTCTCCTGAGAGCTGGCCGGTCAGACGTGCTTCCATAGTGCCAGAGTGGGGGGTCCCCGGGGTCTCTGCTCTGCATCACTCCCTCACCTCCACCAACAGGCTGCTGTTCCTGACGGCTGCTATTTACAGGGAATCGGCTTAGTGTTTGGCATGATACAAAGTACTTCACTTCTCATTTAATGGGCACACAGCCCCTTGGGGTAGGCGTCACTCTCCACATTTTACAACCAAGGGACTCAGAAAAGTTAAGGAACGTGCCAGGTTCTCTAACAAGCGAATAACAGGACAAGGATCTGCCCCAGGTCTGTCTGACTCAAAATCCACATGAGTCACCTTTGCTGTGTGGGTCAGGTTCCCCCAGAGACAGGCACAGTCACGGCTGTGGCAGGGGGTGGCCCGCTGAGGTGAGGGGTTCATGCACTACCCTCCATTCTGGTTCTCTTTCCAGCAACGGAGCCCCAGAAAGCAGAGAACTGAAGTGCAGCCCTCAGGCACAAAGGTAAGATGCTGTCTGCCTGCATCTTCCTGTCACCATCACTGTTCTGACTGAAGTCCGGCCGAGGAGTCATCAGGGAAGAACTGGGCTAGCTCTTGCAACGCGCCCAGCTTTTATTATGAGCTGTGCTCTCAGGAGGCTTATGTCTGAAGGGTGATGAGACAGACGGATTGAAACCTCCCAGGTGTACCACACACACACAGAATGAGCAGTCGGGAAATAGAGCTTCCATACCAACCAACCCAGCGGTCAAGTTGATAGGGTGCCATCCTAGCTACCACATGGGCATGACTTGGGAGAGAATTAGAGTCAGTGAAATACTCCTAATATCAAAGTAGCATAAAGACAATGGCTTTCAGTGATGATTCAGAGAGTACCTTCAGGCCGCTTTTTGAAGTTAACATTTTATTTTTAAACTTTCCAACCCTACTACGTAAAAGTAGGGAGAATAGTATATGACCCCCCCTATACCAGCATTATCAGTTCTTGACGTTTAGGGGCACTGTTTTTAGTTGTATTTAGTATCCGTTTCCATTGTTCATTTTATCAGCAGTAATGCAGGAAAGTAATAAATGCTTTACAGTTTTCAAAATGCTGCCACAAACACAAACTCACTCAAGCCTGCCAGAAGATGTAAGAAGGATAGGTAGGGTTTAGCCCCATTTTACAGATGAAGAAACTGAGGTCAGAGAGAGTAGCCATACATATAGTAAGTAACCGGCTGGAACTCGAGCTCAGGGCTTTGTAGTTGAGTGCTGCGTTTCACTACACCCCTCTGCTCCTGCCCATCTCCCTTTATAACATACCCTGGAATATACTGGGGCGTGGCAGGGATCAGTCTTCTATCAGCTCACTTCTGCCTTTTTTTCCACACAAATAAGGGATATACTTTATCCTAAATCGTAAGTTAAAGGAGATTTCTGGATGTAAAATGCCTGATACACCAGCTTTTACCATCACAGTAATAACACAGGGTACTTGTGGAGCATTTGAAGTCTTTCCTAAGGGTGGGCAGAGTGGGGCTCATTACCTCCTGTCTTCTAGCTGGGCCTCGGGAAGGTTAAAGATGCCTCAGTTTGACGTGGCCATAGATCCAATCCAGGAGGCAGGCATCCCAGCTGCAGCTCTGTGTTCTGTCTATGTCATGGCAGCTGGCAGCTCAGAATCTGGGGGGGGCGGTGTGGGAAGGCTCCGGGGAGAGAGCCTTGAGCCAGCAGTTGTCTTTTTTTTTTTTTTTTTTTTTTTTACTAGGACTTCCTCGGAAACCCTGTTTTCCTGAGTCTCAGGACTGTGAGCGATTCTTGGAGGTGTCCTGAGATAGAAACCCCGGGTTTAACAATTTCCTTTCCACATCTACCAGGTTCCATCCCCCTGAGAGAGCCCCTCTCCTGAGCTCCACGCCCTCCTCCACCTTCATCTCCTGGCCCTGCTTCTCAGGCTCGTCCTCCTTGATTTGCTGAGAACAAGGCACTCAGAGTGGGTCTCATCTTGGGAGTTTCCGTGGGCAGAGGGTCTGTCCTAATTAATGGCTGGGAGACGAGCAGGTAAAGAGTTTTGAAAGGAAGCCAGAGTTTCGTTTTAATTTAAATTCTCTCTCACTTCAACCTCCAGAACCTGAAGGCAGCTGCTTGAACCTTTAGATGCAAATGCTGATGCTTAAGAAAACGGCCACTTCAGCAACAGATCTTTCCCCAGGAGAAGCCAAGAACTTGTGTGTCCCCCACCCTCTCCCCAACCCCTCGACACCTGTCCTCAACTTAATGATGCAACCCCTGCCTCCCTGCAGCCTGTGGTCTTGTCCCCCTCCTGTGACGTGTCTGTGTGTGTGTGTCTGTCTGATGATGTGGTCTTTGTGGCTGCTTGTTCGTGGATGACATTGTATCTTAGTGAACCTGGCCCCACTTTCCTGGGCAGGAGCTGAGCCATGTGGCTGTCAGCTCATCTCTGCTCTCCATGGCCCCATCACCTTCCACTCCCGGGAGTCTGCTTTGTCCCTAAGAGACCAGTTCCTTCCCTTGATTTAGGGGTGGATGGAGGGGTTGGGCACGGGCGGAGTCTCCGATTGGCTTGGGACTTGGGAAGGTTTACATCACCTTCGTGATCCTTCTACATGGCCCGTCTTCACTCCTTTTATAAGAACCTTGCTTCCATATTTGTCCCTGGACCAAGTCTGTTCTGAGGTCTCTTGGCAGTGGGAGGTTCCCAGCAAGGAGTTGATGAGCCCGCTTTGCCCTCGGGCAGCTACACCCCTTCCCTGGTGCCCATCTGCCCCACCTTACTCCGCCCCTGGGGAACGTGCCCCTTGCATATCTTCTCAGCAATAACCCCGTGGTCTCTGGAACCCTACCCCCTTCTCCAGCCTTTCCTGCTCCCAAGATGCCCATCTATAGCGCAGCTCGTCTGGACTCAGACTCCTGTCCCTGGACTGGGGCTCTGGCAGGTGATGGCTGAAGGGGTGCATTCAGCTGGGGCCGGTGCTCTGGGGAGGGGCAGCTGGGAGAACAGGGGTCCTTTGCTTCTCTGTCCACATCCCATTGGCTAGGCAGCAGCGGGGGCTCCTGCACCCTCTGCTCACCTGTCACCGGCCAGAACGGCAAGTGCAGCGGCTGTGCTGCGGGTTAGGGACCCGGCAGGGCTCCGCACAGCCCTGCTGCAGGGGGAACAGCACGAGGTCAAAGCTGGTGAAGAAAGTGGAAAATCAGACCCCGCCCCTCCCGCTCATCGTGTTCTTGTGGAAACTAACCAAACCGTGCCGCTGTGACCAGGACTGCTGTTCTCTGTGTCGTGATCTCTCCTCAACAACGACGAAAAGGAATAAAATACCACTTGTTTCCTAGTGGCTCTGAGGTGCTTTCCTTTCTGTGAAAGAACTTGAATATTTGTAGGGCCTGTGGTGCTTGAAGGGCTAAAGGGACCGTGTCCTCAGTCAGAGGGAGGAGGTGGCAGCTGCAGGGCCAGTGGGAGGTGTTTTATTTCCGGGGGTGGGTTTATTTCCGCTGCTTGACCACTTAGCTCCTCCCCTGTTTCTCCTCGTGCCTCCCCTTTCTCTCCCCTCCTTTACCCGCACCCCTCCTCCTCACCCCTTCCACCCCCTGCTTCTGCCCCCCTGTCAGTGGGTTCAGGCTCCACCCCATAGCTGGACCTGTGCCTCCCACATGCCCTGGAGAGAAGGGAATCACGATGGCTTGACTGAGGGCTTGCTGGCCTGGAAGGAAAGGTTCTCACCTGTCCCTTTGGTCAAGTCTGGGGCCACTACCTAAGGACTTGACAAAGAGGGGTGTGGGTGGGTTGCTTGGGTTATGAGCAAAGCCCTTTTACCCTTTCATCTTTCTCTAAACCCAGATACCCCCTCCTCTGGGAAGCCTTCTTGGACTTAAGGTAGATGAGTCCCTTCTTCCTATGCTCCAGTCACATTGGTTCCTGCCTTTATTTTCATATTTAACGCCCTACGCCTTGGATCACAACTGTAGAGGCCCGTTGGATAATGTCCGTCTGGCAGTGACACAACAGATGGGGAGCATAGGGACCTGGGCTCACCTAGAGCATCCTCCCAAAGACATTCCAATTCAGCTTTTTAAAAAGTACTGTTGGGCAAACAAATACAGCTGTGAGCTGATTCTCTTGGAGGACGCCCATGTGTGACCCCCACCTCTACGTGTCTTATGTGTTTTTATTGTGAGACCCAAATCCTAGAGGGCAAGGGCTATGTCTTGTTCTGACCTAAGAATGCCGGCAACACCTTACGTTCTCAGAAAAGTCTTCATAGGGTCTGCCTAGATTCTTTGAGTTGTTTGGAGCTGCAGACTCAAGGCATGGGTCCTGAGGGACTTGGGGGTCCAGCCACTCACTCCCTGGGACACCCCTGGGACATCCGTGTTGCCTGTCCTCCTCCACTGCTTAGGCCCTCAATCCCCCAGGTCCTTGAAAAGACTGAGGCTTATAGTTGAGGTCAAGCTCGGCATTGTCAACCCAGAGATCATGGTGGTTAAAACATCTCTGGTCATGCTTAAACTTTGGGAATAAGCTAATGACCCCCCAGTCGTGGAGCACTCACTATGTGTCGGGGAATTTGTAGGCTTTGCGGCAATTTCAGAGAAAGGCTGGATGAAGATCCTTAGAGGCCCCAGGTACGCAAAGGTTGGTGGGTACCTCCCCACATTCATTATTGAAAAGAAAACATTAAACTACAGAAATAAGTGTAAGGAAGTCCAGCGGGGAGGTTCTGATTTTTCTCATAATAATTATGTTAACAATAGAGAATGGTAGTTCTCATCTCTAGCATAGATAGAAAATGGCTATCCCTACTCTGGCCGACTCTGAGAACCTACCTATTTTTCCTCCTGCTAATCCAGCATGATCTCTGAGCTAGATATTCACATTGTAGATTCTCTCTGATAAACTTGTGACTGGTCTAGGGCCACGTGGCTGGCAGGTAGCGGAGCTAGGAGTTGAGCCCAGGCTGTCTGTCTCCAGAGCTCTTTATAGGACACACGTGGCCTGGCTTCCTTCTTCAGGAGGCTGAGATCCAGATACAGGAAGAGGATCGTCTGGGCTGGTGAGGCCGCTTCCGGAGCCTGGCGGCCCCTTCAGGGCGTAAACTAGCTGAACTGTGCTCTGAGGAGAGTCCTGTGAGAGGTGAGTGGTCTGGAAACAAGACACGTAAAGAACAGTCAAAGAAACTGATGATCAAAATAATAACAATAACGAATGAATGGATGCAGCTAACATTTATCAAGCACTTACTATGTGCCAAACACTGGGCTGAGGTCTTCACGTGTACCAACACATTCAGAACTCACGACTCTGTATGATGGCATCCCTATTTTACAGATGAGGAAACTGAGGCTTGGTGGATCTTGCCTGAGTTTGCACTGCTGGTGTCAAAGCCAGAGTCTAGCCCAGGCCCATCCAGCTCCAAGCCAGTGTGACCCTGTGCCACAGAGGAGAGGACCCAGGCCCATCAGCTGGACGTGAGCAGGAGGTAAAACTTGGCCTATTGTGAGTGAGTGCTTAGTTCCCAGGCTACGGTGATCCCAAACTGGAGTGAGCTCCCAGTCACTGGAAGTGTTCAAGGTGAGGGAGAATAACCAGCAGATAGGATCCCCTAGGCAAGATGGACTCTGAGAACCCACCCAGGATGACCTAAGTGTCCGGGCCTGAACTGACAACCCCCTCACCTCCCAACCAATGGATGAGCTGCTGCTTCCTCTTTGGTCTAGCACTGCAGGGCCAGGGCAGAAGAATCTGGAATCCAGGCATGGGTCACTGCTTAATATGTGTCTTGCTTCTGGGCCAGCATTCCATGCAGGCAGGACCACGTCTGTCCACTCAGCCTTCGGGCACGCAACTTATATTTGTGATTTGGCTGAATATAGCAGATGTAACTCGGTTGAACAGGAAAGCTGTCGTGCTGTGCCAGTTCCCAGAGGGGTCTCAGACAGAGATCTCAGGTGTCCTGCGCATTTCACCTCCTGGCTGTACCCCCTGCTCCCCACGTCCCCATGAATTCCACTCCAGAGATTTTCAAGTCTATTTGCATGAGCTGTTTGTGCTACTTAGTACCACATAAAAAAAGGTCAGTCTGCTTTCTGGGTCCCCCTGGGCTGTGGCCCTCCCCATCCCTTTTTTTTTTTTTTTTGCAGGTTGTGGATAGGAACTTGCCAAATTGTTCTTGGAAGAGAGTCAGAGGCACAGTGCAAGCAGCAGGGAGAGAGGGGTGGGTGAGGGGGATGCCAGGCTGAAGCACACCCCAAGGTCAGCGGGCTCCTTCTCTTCTTGTGGGGAGGAGGGTTCTGCCCTCGCCAGGATCATGGGCTGGCAGAGCCAGGGTGGGAGAGTGGTCCAGCTCTGTCTGGTTCACCCAACCTTGTCCCTGGTGGTTCTGCCTCACCCTGGGCCCAGATAGAGTGAGACAGATGGTGGGGGGTAGGTCAGGTGTGTTTGCCTGAGCCAGGGGAGGACCCTTGGAAATACCTATCTCTAGGCCACACAGAGGGAGAGCGGCCACCTCTCACCATTAGTGTGATTCATTGCTGTCACAGTTGATCTCCAGGGGGCCAGAATCAGCCAGCTCAAGCCAACCGGCTGCTGATTTTATGGAGCCACAGCCCCAGCCCCAGCCACGTGCCTGGTTGCACAATAGTGGAGCACTTTCCAAGGCAGGGATCGCAGAGCAGGTGATGGCGCGATCAGGTATCCTGAAGGACTTGGGGTGTTAGGGGCTGCCAGGCGGTGGGCCCCCCGCACCATCCAGAGGAGTGGGTTCCTGCCTCCCAGCCAGGCTTGGAGGTGGCCTGGTGGAACAGAAGGAGGCTCAGGACATTTCCTTGTGTTCCCTCTAGCTGTGTGATCTGGGGCAGACCCCAGCATCTTTGTCAGTTTCCTTCTCTGCAAAATGAAGTCCTTCCTAGCCATGGGGTAAGCTGGGCTCCTGTGTACACCTGGGAGCCTTGGTTTCCTCAACTGTCCAATGGGCCTATCAATATCTTTCCTGTTACCTCACAGGGTCAGAGTGACACAATGGACATAAAAACACTGAAAATTTTACGTGTAGATATTATGTTATTGTTGACAATAACACACAACCTAAAAGTTGAGAATTATGTGTTATTTGGGGGTATTACTGAGGACTATGGTGTGGGACACAGCCTCTCAGATAGCTCTGCTGAGCTGTTCCAAAGAGGTAAGGGAGGAGCCAGGATATATAGGAGTTTTTACTGAAAAACAAACAAACAAACAAACAAAACCATATACAGCTGAACATGAAAAGATTACTGCTAATCACAAAAACCAGGCATCCCAAGTTAAGGATTTTAGTGCCTTTCTATGTATGGGAAGATGTATGAGTCTGGGCTCATTGAAATCATTCCTTTGATATTCATCTTAACTGCCTAGGGCCAGTATCCTGTTTTTCTTCACCCTATATCCCCCTCAGGGTGTACGGTCACCAGCAGTGGCCGATGGTTTGATGGTGGGGAGCATTCATTGTTTACTAAAATATGGCAGGCAACATTTTTTTTTGTCCACGTTATTAATGTTTATATTACCAGCCAGTTCCTTATGTGCTCTTTCTCTGATAGCAGGGTTCCCCTTCTATCGTTTAGACTGGGGTTCAAATTTTGACTTGTCCACAGACCACGGGAGATTCCTCTTCTGTAGGATGGGTATCTCAAAGCTTGCTTGACTAAGTCGTTGGACGGACCGAAGCAGATCAAACAGGCAAGAGTTGTTTGGAACAATCAAGAACCATAAAATGGATGGAATTGTTACCAAGTGATCAGAGATGGGCACCAGACTCAGTGAAGACAGACATTTAACAGACCCCATGATCTGTGTCCTCGAAAAAGCCAGCATAGACTTGGTAGTCTTATGAAATGAATGCCAAAGATGATTACAAAGCCAGATGTGAGCCATTTGGGCCGTGTCAGTGGACTCCAGAAGGTCATGGAGGAAGGGTGGGAGCAGCAGGGGGTAGGCTTGATCCTGGAGGTCTTCCTGGAGGTATTGAGTTGGGACCTGCTTTTCAGAGGTAGGGAGGGATGTGGTTACTGGAAGGAGAAGGGCTGCAGCTGGAGAGAAACAGCCTCCGTTCTAGTTCAAACCCAGACGTGACTTCTGAGAAAAGTCAAGAATGCATTTCTCTCCAGGGTATTCACTGTGGGAGAGGAGGGCCAAACGCGTTTGCCCTTGTCACCAGCTGTAGAAACAGAAGGGGACGTCCCCATCTCCTGCCTGCTCAGGGAGCAGAAAGACCTGGGCGACCTTGACTCTGAGTACATTGCCCTTTGGCAGCTCCCAGGACCTGTGTGCCCCATGGCTTGCGCCATCTTGAAACCAACAATTAAGGAATGGACCCTCCAGGGCCCACCCCCTCCCAGCCCTGCCTTATAAGACCCCAGGGACCCTGGCATCCACAGCCACAGCAGGAGACAGGAGCCAGCGTTCCTTGGGGTTCGGGACATCTGGGCAACACAGGTGGGGCCTGAGAGTCACCACCTTCCCTGCCAAGTGACCACGCATGCCATGCAGCTGAAGACGGACCTGAGCCGGGAATCGGGGCTTTCTAGGGGCTTCTGGCTTCTCTCCAGCTGTGAGCCAGCACCAGGAGGATTGGCTGGGGGCCTGGAGTCCAAGGCTGTGCCCTCTGCCGTGCAGCCCCCCACACCCAGGGCAGGTGAATCTGGAGGATCCCATCTCGAGGAGACTGGTGATGAGGGCCCTTGCCTCGTTGCTGGCTCTTGAGCACCAGGGAGACAAATCTCAGCCGATGTCCCAGTCTGTTAACTCCCTACCCCACGAGCCCAACCGTGACCACCCCAGACGGTTGCCCAAGGCTGAGGAATCGGGAGACAAAGGAGGCCTGCTGGGGGAAGACAGGAGAGGCTGAGGCACGGCAACTGAGGACACTGTCCCTCTGGACAGGCAGCACTGAAGGAGGGATCTGGAAGTTGGGACTGCCTCTCCACACCTCCCAAATTGCTCCTTGATTTCTGGGTCTTGGGGAAAACAGCAGAGTGTGCCCCTCTTTGGCTCTAGCCTGGAACAACAGACAAAGGAGGAGGGCTTGGGGGGTCTTTGCCTTGTGGTCTTTCCAGGATGGAAGAGTGGTGCTCCCACCCCAGTTGCCCCCATATCCCAGAAAAGACTGGAAGAACAAGAGGTAGGGCCAGATGCCAGCAGGGAACAGCCGTTTTGCATGGGGTTTCAGAGGAAGAAGGGAAGGCTGGGGATGCCGGGTGGGTGGTTGGCTGGCAGAGATCATGCTGAGGGTCCGGGACAGAAAGGTGCCCCAAGAGCCTGCTTTAAAGATCACCCCACTGGCGACTGAGCCCAGGGAAGGGATTACCGCAAGTGTCCACAAGGACACTGGAGGGTCAGCTCAGGGTGAGGGTAGTGAAGCTGGCACTTATTAGGACCCTCTTGGCCAGGCCTTCTACCTACATCACATCTATTCCTGAGACAGCCCTGCAAGGTAGGTGCTATCATCCCATTTTACAGATGGGAGAAGAGGCCTCGGAGAGGTAACCTTCCCTAGCATCACGCAATCCGTAGTAAGGAGTCAGGATGCAACAGGATTTAAGCGTGGGTGCATCTATCTGCAAGGGACCCCTGTGCTGCTCGCAGAGTTGCGTTGGGGGGAGGCTTCCCTGGGCTTCTTTCCGGGGGATCGTGGCCATGATCCAGGTTGAAGGAGCCAGGGCCTCCCTGGAAGGCTGTAGGGTATCTTGGGGTGGGGGTCCCCGTCCCCAGTGTCAGCCAGGCTGATGACCTCAGTCAGGACAAGGAAGGACTTGGTTGTGGGTAGGGTGAGAGGGGCAGGACCTCCTTGACTCTTAACATCCGGCTTCCCCTGAACGGACAAACGAACGCTTTTATGAAAATTGCTGCAGGGCTCCAGGTGAAGCGCTGGAGGGAAGCAGGGGGCCGGGGCCGGGGAACTCCCCAGGAAGGACTCTGGGGAAGCTGTCGGCTGGGGGTGGGGTGTGCTGGCCACTCGCTGTCTCTCTGTGGGGGCAAACTAGTTTTTGCTACTTATTACAGGTGATTTCATGGGAAGAGGCTGCGTTAGGCAAGTTGTGGGTATGCCTGTGCAGCTGGCAAAATTATTTCACCCCTGGAGATAATCCATTCATTTAACAAAAC